ATGCCCCCTACTCCTCTTAGAAGTTCTGAAACGCTTATATATATATATATATATATAATTTTTTTTCACAATTGTATCAGAAGAAGAAGAACATTGGCGTATCACTATGTTTTCACGACAAGAACATCTAATAAATGTATTATCTACAATAGGCTTAATGTTTTACTTTTGGGAGTCTAACTCTTTTTTCAAAGCATCATTCTCAAGCTTGGTTTTGTCAGCTGTCAATTGCAGTCTTTCTTCCTTTTGCTTCGCCTCTCTCAGGGAGTCCTTCAATTCCTTGCGTACTTTGTCCAGTTCTTCTTCAAGACTTTCTTGGACTACTTCTCGGCTTCTCAGAGTGACATGCAATTCACCTGCGAGATGAGCACAAATTGTTCTACCATGCTTCATCAATAATAATAACATTACAGTATCAAATTTTCAACAAATGAAGATACACATAAAGAACACTAATACTCAAATATCCAACGAGGTATTGCCTTAAATATTTTTAATAAGTTAATATTCTATTGTTTTTTTTCATCAATTCAAAATTTGTGCTCAGATATTTCAGGCACATAGTTACAAAATATTGAGAAATATATAAATGAATTTTATGCATATGTTGAACAAAAGCGTGAACTCGATCAATGGGTCTCCAATAGCAATAGAAAATAACCCAGATTTTATTTCCTGATGACGTTGACGTTCATATCATAATAAGATCTTTTGTAACTTAAATTTGCTGGTTTACCTTAAACCAATAAAAAGAAATTGCAATTAAAATAATATCAAATGTTGAAAAAAATACATTGATACTATTAAAAAGGGGAACAATTTGATTTGTTTTCCTGTTGCATGAGAATTTTGATCAGATCTTAGATTGCTGATTTCAATATTGCTATCTCAGTTGCTCTCTACAAGCTATAGTTTTTACGTAATTCAGTAATAAATTCCTAATCAGGAATTTTTGAAATTCTCTGGAGTGAATACTAAGTATCCCCACCTTTTTGTTACGTAGGGAGTAGTAGGAAGACGATAATACATTTTGTTTTACAAGGTGATACGTTACGATCATATGTTTTTTTCTTAAGTATTATTTTAAAGGAAAGAACAAGTGTATAAAGCTATACAATATTTTTAAACCTGTATATTCAAACAAAAAGAAAAGCAAATATACTAAAGAAAGTATATTATAAAAGAAAATATACTTTTGAAAAAAATCTGTACATCGAAAACAAAACTAGTTTCAGATTTGAAATCCCTACACCGAATTAGGTAAGATCAAGTACTCGTAGAAGTGCAACAAAAAATTTGTTTCCAGTGTTATGCATTCCAGCTTGGATAATAAACAAACTTTTCTGCCACTTCGGTTTTTCTCAAACTTTTCAACGCTCCCGATGAATTACTTTTACTTATTATATTTTAATATCAATTATTCCTTATTAAAAGTAACTATTAATTACAAAAAAATTTAATTTGGTTGCTAGATGCTTTAACTTCCATAATTACAACGAAAAATCACCTCACGTTGAGAGTATAAGCCAGAGAAGGTTATTCGAATATTTACTAATTTCATCTTGAAGCTCGCTCACAAGTTCTCGGAGCTCGACCCTGGTGGCCGAATCCCTGATGGCTTTCATCGGTTTCTTCTTAGAGCCGATACTTTCCTTCAATTTCTTGTATTCGCGGTTAAGGCGACTATTTTCAATCTCCAGTTGCATGGCTCTTGATTGAAGCGATTGGTAATCCTCATCCTTCGCCTTGAGGCGCCTTTTTAGTGAGGCGATTAGATCATTTTCGTTCTCTGACAAAAGAGATGTCAAACTCTCTTTTCTGGGCTTGTAATCCTAGAAAGAGTGATTTTATATATAAAAACACAAATATAATTCTTGTCCAAATGAACAGCATCAGAAATGTAGTAACTTAAAGATTATAATTTAAACTTACAGAATTGAAACACAGATTGTGTATAACTATGGACCAATTCAAATGGGAGCATTTAAAGTGAATGTAAAATCGTGATTAGAGGGATGTATTCGGAACAGAACAAGTACCAAGAATGTTAGTGTTAAAAGGTCATCAAATATTCGCATTTTATGGTGAAGCCTACCTAACACAATCGGCTGACAATAAATTGCGTAAAAATGTTCATTAGTGGCGTACATCAATATTCGTAGTAGTAGTAGTGCGTCATTTACGTCTCAATAGAGCTTCTCAATGTGAGATTGGCGACGGTCTCGGAATACTAGGATTATTGCGAAGGCATGCCATCGCAATTTTGATCCTCTGCAAAGGGGATGGCTCACCCTACTTTGGTAGCCCGACAACCTAAGCGTGAAATCGAGCACTCTACTGTAGAATGGTGTAACGAGTCGTTACACCATTCTACAGTAGAATGCTCGATTCTACTGTAGAATTCTACAGTCGTTACATCAGGTAAAACACTGAAATGATTTCAGTGTTTTACCTGGAACCGTGTCCTAACGATCAATCCACTGCGGATCACATCATTGTTGGATATGTCAAGACTCAGAGCGGGCAAACGCCATGATCTCCCATGAGAACATTGCTGCTGTTGATGAAGTAGTTGGAGCTAAACAAAAAGCTACCCCTTGTGATATCTATGCAGCACATTGCCTGACGTGTATAAAGAAGTTGTACAATCTCATTTTAGCACTAAAAATTGTATGAACTCACGTTGTTCTTTTCTAGGCGCATCCTTTTTAGCTCGATTTTGCATTCACTTTACATGTTGCCTTGTGAACTGGAAATTAGTTATATAGTCTGCTATACCTTCTTTTTATAACCTTATAGCGCTTTTGCCTTTCCGAAACTTCTGAAGGTATTACCCGTGTTCACTTATCATTTAAGCCACATTTTTATTGTTTAACGATAAACTTACGCTGACGTGATAGGTCACATGTGTGGGTATCTATGATCATCTTCTTCTTGAAGTGCAAGTACCTGATTGTAAACTACATAAAATCATTTAAATAAAGTGATAGTTAATTGATTATTTGAAATAAATCATTTCGATAAATGCGTAACATTTCCATGCACAATATATAATAATGCACCGATATTTTTTTTATTATATTTTTAATCTGAAAGCCTTATTGGGAAACAATAACAAGTAACAACATTTAAAAAAATTTGAAAAATTTTACACAATTTAAACATGAGACAGAATGTAGTCAGAGATGTGGTAACGAAAATTTAATTTAATTGAATGAAAAATATATCTTTTGGGGCTTTTAAGTACCCTTGATCAAAATTTAACACTCATAAATTACGAACAAATTTCACCCACAAGAACGAAAAACGAATCCAATTTGATGCCACTTTCAGCACTAGTCAAGAACTAGTTAATAAAGTCTGTACTTCAAAAACTTGAATAGCGTTTTAAACATTTATAATATATTTACTACAACTTCAATTTTGATTTAAAATAAAATAAACTCAATATATTAATGTATCACATAGGCCCCCAGATAAATTTTAATGGTTATATTTAACTACTAATAATAAAACATCACAATTACAATACTACCAATTACTACGTTTTTTGTAGAATATTTTATTGAGTGGTAAACAATTAAAAATTAAAGGTTACAGAATTTTTGGTAATTTTGTCAGCATTATAAAGGCCTTATCACAATAGAGTTTGAATAAAGTGACTATTTATTTATAATCATTTACAAACAGTGGTGTGAAAAATAACTTTAAATAAAATTTTTAAAAGAAAGAATGTTACATTGAAGCATAAACTTAGCTACCACTGGAAGAAATTTTTCTTAGAAGTGTAAAAAGTTGGCATGCCTGCAATTATAATTCATATCTTATGATATTTAAAAAATTGTGTAAGGATTGAATTCTTATTAATTGTTTTTTAAGTTTATCAAGTTTCCTGATAAGTTAAAAATTAACATATTTTTCTAAAGATTTCATTTTTATATTTAATGTGGTAGAAAAACGTATGCATTCACACTTATTTTTTAACAGTTTACAATCTTCAAAAAAAATGGCACTGTTCAACCATTGTAAAAAAATATTTTGAGAACCGTAGAAGTTGACAATTAAGTTGTTTACCATTACAAATAAACCTATAATATGAAAATCGCTTAAAATGTACTTGAATAATGGCGACTGGATTCTCTGCTGTTGTTTTCTGTAGTTCTTCTTTCATCGCTTCCAGCTTTCTTTGCTGATCTTCTAACTTTTGCTTCAACTCCATATTGTCCATTTGCAATATATCCGCAGACGTTGGTGGTGGCTTCTTTGTCAATCTCAGAGTCATACGCTTGTTTTCTGTCACTAGTTTTTCATTTTCAGTTTCCAGGCTGTTTAACTAGGGTAAAAATATTTGATTTAACGATTAAAAAGACGAAAAAAATATTTAATTTAATTTGTGTATCGGTTTATTAGATTAAAATGATTTATATATTGGCTCATGATTAAAACTATTCCAGTTCCATATCTGAAAACTACTTGCAATATCTACCGAAGTTTTTTTATTCCGTTGTAAACCTTTATTTACAAACTTTATCTACTACCGTCATAACGTACAGATTGGTGACGGTGACACCTCAGGCATTGCTTCATCTGACACATAGCGAATGTCAGCACAAGTATAAAATTATGATCTAAGACATAAATAAAAAACCTAGGCTATATTAAACACGGTTCTACAATGATCAAACTAAATATATTTTTATAATCAGTGTTAAAAAAGAATTTTAAAAAAATATACACATTAGGGATTGCTAATATATAAGCGAATAAAAATAAAACGATATCGAAATCGAACGAACCACTACGGAGGAAGGCAGGACTTAAAATATAGAAACTGATTGTCGGAGAAAACCGAGAATAAGTAATGGGTAATTGCTAGAATCAGCTACAACATTTCCCCGGTAGTCACGTAGGCTTTGACACTTTCACCTCCGTTTAACTCAGTACTGATTTATACAGCGAGTAAATTTTTCTTCCTAGCTTTAATAATTTGCCTTTTATTTTGACGAAGACTCTAAAAAAACTGGGTCTACCAAAAAGTTCGGACTACGAGAGTACACGCCTTTTTTTATAAGTTGCAAAATTACTTTAATTAAAAACTGGAAAGATATTTATCCTTGAATGTATAGATTAGGTATACCAAAAACGTAAGACCGATAACTTCGTTTCTGGTTTGAATATGTATACACATGTTTCTGAGCCATATATATATTATATTATATTATATAATATAATATAATA